CGCCCCCCCCCCCCCCCCCCCCGCCCCCCCCCCCCCCCCCCGGGTTATCTCGCTCACTGTAGCCAAAGGAAAAATTCTAAGACACATATCTTCCCTCTGGGTCCCCTGCACCTACTTCAGGCCCTGGTATATTATAAGCATTCTGTAAGTGTGGTAGAATGAATGCTGTCTTTCTGGCCCTTGCTTAAAAACCCCCAGGAGTTTCTGTCCCTTACAGGTAAAGTTCAAACTCCTTGGCATGGATTGAACACCCTTTGTAATCAGCCGTCTACCTCTCTGACCCAGTTGTGAGTTATTGAAGGTTGGCTTGTGTCTGCTTTATCTTCATCACTAGCGCAGGGCCTAGCACACAGTCAGCCTCAATAAATGCCCAGGGAGTGAATGGGTTAATTAAAAGCAGAATGTAATCAGGCTCATCAATGCTACAGGCTAGAGTTTCTATTTGTGCAGAGGAAGGAGGGAGAGAAGCTTCCTGCTGGGGTGGCCCAGGAAAGCCTTGAGGAAGAACTTGGGAGAGTTGCTGGGGGACACCTGCGTCAGGTCTGTGGTGGGAGAGGAGTGTGCTGGGGAGGTGGGTGCTGAGTGTAGAAAGCCTGCAGAGCAAGGAGAGGGGCTGAGGCTTTATTCTCTGGGCTGTGAGAGGTATGACCAGAAGGAGAGGATGAAGACTGTGGGTCAGTGAGGACAGGGGAGACCTGGGGACTGGAGATCCGGGGCCATGAGAGGACCGCTGAGGGAAGGAAGGTGGGCCCTCCCGGGGAAGGGGTGGGGTGAAGGATGGAGCCCTGCCGCAGGAAGGTGGGGTTCGTCGGGGGTGGTGGTGAGAGGATTCCCGGCGGTGGGAAGGTGGGGCTCCTTAGGGGAGGCGGGTCCTGTCCTATGGAGAACGTGGGGACCGCTGCCGAGGCGAAGGCAGTGCTCTGGGCCAAGTCGGAGGGAGCCCTCTGTCCCCCAGGCCCCGCCATGGGGAAGACCAACAGCAAGCTGGCCCCCGAGGTGCTGGAGGACCTGGTTCAGAACACGGAGTTCAGCGAGCAGGAGCTGAAGCAGTGGTACAAGGGCTTCCTGAAGGACTGCCCCAGCGGCATCCTCAACCTGGAGGAGTTCCAGCAGCTCTACATCAAGGTGGGCGGGCCGGGCCGGGGCGGGCCGGGGCGTTTAATTCATTACACATTCTCTTATCAAACTCTCATTCTCTCCTGTTTTTGTTTTCACTTTTGTATTTCCCTTAAAAACATGCAGGATCAACCCTACAAATACCCCCACCCACAAACAAACAAACCCAAACACTCCACCATAGTTTTTTCAACTTTGTTCTTCCCTCAAGACACCCGCTCAAGTCTTAATCTACTACCAAACTTCTTGAAAAAACAATCTACAAAGGCTGCTTTCTCCCCTGCCCCCCTTCGTTAAGCAGGTATTTCTTGGTCATTTGCCATTTGAGTTTCAGCACTATCAATATATAAAAATTACATTCCCAGATGTCACCCATGACCTTCAAAATCACCAGCATTTTCCATTGCCTCTGAAGGACCAACCACACCCCTTTCTATTCTGTGGCTCTTCTGTGCTGTTCCTTATCACTTTGGTGTTGCTTCTTACTCATGCTGATCCATCTTCTTTGCTATGATTTCTCTATTTGTACAGTTTTTTCAAAGTTTCTACCTTTGATACATTTTTTTCCTCTAATCTTTCTCCTTTAGCAATTTCATTTGCTCCTCAGACTCCAGCTGTGCCTGCTATGGATCCAAGTGTACATTTCCAACCAACAGCTCCTTCCAAAACTTCAGATCCATGTTTGCTGTAGCTCATGAGGTATTTCCACCTATCTCATAACAACCCTTAAATCAAAAAAACACACAAATGGCTGAACTCATCCTCTGGCCTCCCTGAACAACCTCCTTCTGCTCCAACCTCTAACAAATTAATTATCTTTATATCCATATCTATAGCAGTATCTATAAATCCCAAATCAAATGCCAGTCAAATGTGACAATTTCATGGTAGTCTGTAAAACTGCCTGTTGTAATACTGTAAGGGGATTATTTCTAGTTTATATATTTTCTACAAATACAGATGATCTGGTAAGATGCCATCCCCTTCCTTTTGCATGAGAGTGTATTTATTTGTCCATTAAGGTAGTTTAAGAGTTTCGAATCCAGCACCTGAAGTAGATGAAGTTGAGACTTTGTCCAAAATAAATGCAATATATAGATTGACCTGGGAGTTTCTTGGCTATGTGATGTTGTAATTAGTATAATGGCAGAGTGGTTAAGCTGGAATCTCTGGCTTGGGTTGTCTCTGGTTTAAAATGTCCACATCCACCACTTTCTAGCAGTGTGAATATTTCATGTTACTTTTATTTTTCTGTGACTCGGTTGCTTTATCAGTTAAGTGTGGAAAATAATAACAGGGGTGTTACAAAGGAATGGAAATCATCAAGTCGAAGGTATACCTGTTCCCCAATGTTCATTGCAGCACTCTTTACAATAGCCAAGAGTTGGAACCAGCCCAAATGTCCATCAACGGATGAGCGGATACGGAAAATGTGGTATATCTACACAATGGAATACTACTCAGCTATAAAAACGAATGAAATACTGCCATTTGCAACAACATGGATGGACCTTGAAAGAATAATATTAAGTGAAACGAGTCAGGCAGAGAAAAAGAAATACCACATGTTCTCACTTATTGGTGGGAGCTAAAAAAAATAAATAAACAAATTAATTTACCCACAAACACACACACACAAAAAAAAAACCGGGGGGGGGGGGGGGGAGGGGAAGATATAACAACCACTACTTTTTTTTTTGAAGTTCTTACAACAAGAAAATGGAGGGGACACACTACGGCGACGCCTCCAAGTTCGCGCAGCACGCTTTCCGCACCTTCGACAAGAATGGCGACGGCACCATCGACTTCCGGGAGTTCATCTGCGCCCTGTCGGTCACCTCCCGCGGCAGCTTCGAGCAGAAACTCAACTGGGCCTTTGAGATGTACGACCTGGACGGAGACGGGCGCATCACGCGTCTGGAGATGCTGGAGATCATCGAGGTGCGCTGGGGCGGAACCGAGACGCCAGGGTGGGCTGGGACAGGGCCCCTGTCTTCGCGGCCAGCCCTTTGTCCTCTCCAGCCACCCTCCTCCAGGGCCTCAGGAGCCTCCTCGCTGCTCCCCGGCTTTCCCCAGCTCTCCCCCTAGCCTGCCTCCCAGGATCCGGTGGTACAGGCCCTGCGCTCAGTGCATTACCCAACAACCGATGGGGTAGTTACTGTCGGAAACCCCATTTTACAGATGTGGAAACAGGTAGCAAGTGGGGAGTCATGATTCAAATTCAAGCGTCTGACTCCAGAGCCTAAGTTCTTAACTCATTCATTCTTTCTGCAGATATGTATTGAGTGCCTGCCATGTGCCAGGCCTTCTTCAATGTTCTGCTTTCATGGGAAGTTCCTTCTAGTAAGACATTAAATACATTTTTAAAAACGATAAATAAACCTATGTCATGTCAGGCAGAAAGTGATATGAAGAAGATAAGCAAAGCAAAGTAAGGGGAGAGAGGGATGGAGAAAAAGTGATTTTATATAAGGTAAAAAAGTGAGCAGCACCTGAATACAGTGAGAGAGCAAACCCCAAGAAATCTGGAGGAAGAGCGTCCTATACAGAGGAGAGAATAAATGCAGGTTAGACTGGTGTGCAGGGCCCAAGGAGTGGCCTGGAAGCCAGGGTGGGAGGAGAGATGTGAGTGGAGGGGAGAGTGACAGAAAGGTGGTCCCGGAGGGAGCCAGGAGCCCAATCACTCAGCGTCTGCTAGACCAGGGTGGAAACTTTGGTTTTACTGTGAATGACATGGAAAGTGATAGAGGGCTCTCTCTAGGTGGAGAACAGACTCTGGCGTGAGGGAGGGCAGCAGAAGCAGGGAGACCAGTCAGGAGCTGATGGATAGTACAGTGACAGAGGAGCCGTGGAAGTGGCAGGAAGTGGTTGGATGCGGGACTGATTGCAAGTTAGGGCTGACAAGTTTTGTTGGAGGATCGGATGTGGAGTGTGAGAAGGAGGGGAGTCAAGAATGGCACCAGCGTTTTTGGTCTGAATAACTGGCAGGATGAAGTTGCTACTTACTGGGCAGGAATGCTGGGGGAGGAGCAGGCTGGGGGTGAAGAGCTAGGTTTTAGGCATACTTAGTCTAAATAAACATTATTTAGTCTAAATAAATAATAAGACGCTCATTAAATATCCAGTCTTAATGACTATATATCACCTTCCAGTATCCTCACTACCCCCCAGTATTCTCCTTGCCCACCCTCAGATTCCTTTCATTCACCTCCGACTATCCCTGCCCCTGTGGGTTCACCCCTTTCATTCACCCCGACTATCCCTCCCGCCTCCCCCCATCAGGCTATCTACAAGATGGTGGGCACCGTGATCATGATGCGCATGAACCAGGATGGGCTCACGCCCCAGCAGCGTGTGGACAAGATCTTCAAGAAGATGGACCAGGATAAGGATGACCAGATTACACTGGAGGAGTTCAAGGAGGCGGCCAAGAGTGACCCATCCATTGTGTTGTTGCTGCAGTGTGACATGCAGAAGTAGAGGCTGGTGAGGGGCAGGGCCCCTGGGCAGGAGGGGCAGGGACCCCTCCCAACCTAATGACCTCTCTGGCTGGCCCTTCCCCAGGGGGAGGGACACTCCAGCCTCATTCTCTGGCCCACCCACTCCTCTGCCCATGCCTTTCCTCCGCTCATTCAAGATCCTCGAGGGACCACCTCACCCTGCAAAAGAGACAGGTCCTCTGGTGTCCTGTTGTCTAGCCCCACCCCCAGCCTTGGCCCAGAACCAACATCCATTGGGCATAGGAGAGTTGGCTTTTGTCCCAAGAGGCAGGGTTAAGGAGGGGGGGCCTGGGTCCTACATTGAAATTCTGTTGCTCCTGGGATTATGCTTTATAGAATATGGTCCCACAGGCCCTAGTTAAAGGGCCAAATTGGGTCTGTCCTATCTGAGGGCCCCGATTCCTTAAAGGCGATCTCTGCCCTACCCCCTCGATTCTACCTGGCCCCTCTGGCCTCTGCCTTTGGAGCATTCATTCAGTCCTTTCCTCAGCCAGTGTTTATTGAGCACTTGTTCGATGCCGGCACCTCTAGGTGCTAAGGATATAGTAGTTTACAAGATATATTCCGTGTCCTCTGGAAGCTCACAGTGGTCAAGGTCCTAGACAGGGATGTTCAGCACAGCTGAGCAGAGGTGCAGTGAGGCTGCTTAGCTTAAGAGGAGCTATTACACCTTCCAGCTCAGCTCCACACAAAGCTGCAGGAGGATGAAATGAAAAGCATTTCCTAAGAGACATGTGAATGAAAGTTTCAAGAAAAATGGAAATTTATTCTAATACTTATTTTTCTAGTACCCTTTAAAAGAGCTAAAGTCATTTTATTAGCTTAGGATATTAAAATGTACTCTATATTACTTGGTTTCTTATAAAGTGATCAAATGAATGTAGAAAATGCTAATTATCAGGGGCCGGGGGAAAGCTGAGGAAAAAAGGGGAAAATGCCACCAAACTTACCAGATAACACTTTTTCTTAACAGGCTAAGTCCCAAGTCATCACCATGAGTAGTTTTTGCAGCTTCTGCTGTTTCCTTTTTATTACCTTTTTCAATTCAACAAGCAACTCTCTATTCCACACTTACTCTGGTTGGGTGCTGACTTCAGAGACAGAAAAAACAAGGTTTGCCGAGAATGAGACAAGTGTATATCCTACATCTTGATAGTTCGTTTCTGGATTTGGTTTAGTTTCAGTGATGGGCTTGTTCTTTCACTGCTACAGAAGCAGAAGGAGCTAAAAGAAAAGGACCACCTGGCCACTGTTTAGGCTCCCAGGCTGGATTTATGGACCAAATGCCTAAAATATGCTGGGCATGCTCCATTTGAAAGGCTTTTCTAAATCCTAGATCTGCCAGGTAATTCATCATCTTACAAGTGCACTCTCTGCTTTCCAATGCCTGCTCTCCAATTTTGGATCCATGAGCTATTCAGCTGCATGCTTTGACTGCCAGAAAATTTCATCTGCTTCTTCATCGAGTCTTTCACTTTACTTTCTCCTGTATTTATGATCAGAAATGAGCTTTGATGTGCAGTGACTGTTGATTTCCTCTTGAATTGCTGGTGAAAACAGTCTAGTACACAGGCGTGTCAGCCCGGGGTGAGAGTAGGGAATGATTGCTGAGCTAGGGCCTGGGGTAGCTGGGATTGCATCTGTAGGAAAGAGATGCACCATGCCCCTCGCTTCTGAGTGCTCACCTATCCTGCCTCTCTGCAGGTGGAAACCCTTGGGGATGTTGACCTTTGGTCCTAAGCTCTATTCAACCTTCCTTCTTGTGGCCCTTGGAAGTGGTAAGGCCACTGGGTTGCCACCCTCTTTCTATCCTGTGACAGTCACATGGTGAGGCTGGGGAATGGACATCCTCAGTCAGTAACTAGCAGGTATTTATCCAAGGGATGTCCATTGCTCTCAGGAGCTGGCTATTAGGTGTGTCTTGTGCTGTCAGTCAGCACCACAGACACATGGATACTCAACAGCCTGACTCACCTGTGACCTGATTCTTCTGGTGGAGGTTTTTTTACCAAGCGGGGTTCCTTCCCCTGCAAATGTCAAATCCAACCTCATTCACAATCACACAGAAGTTCATGGCTTTGAAAGGCTCGTAGGGATTTTCATTCTCTTTCTCCAGACTTGAAAGCTGGTTCAGAGAGGGGGAGTCCCTTGTGCAAGAGCACACAGTCAAGAGGTGACACAGTGCCAAGACTTGAACCTAAGGTTCTAAGAGGATTTCTTCCCTTCAGAGTCTCTTCTCTGCTCGTTTCTGTGACTGAGTTGTGCAGAGGTTGAGTGTGGCACAAGCCAAATTGGTTTTCGTCTTTTTTTTTTTTTTTTTTTAAAGGTAAGAGACACAAAGAGACTGGTAAGGGGATCTTAACCTTTGGCTTGGAGTTTTCAGCACCACGCTTAGCCAGTGAGCTAACTGGTCATCCCTATATAGGGATCTGAACCCGTGGCCTTGGTGTTATCAGTACCATACTCTCCTATGTGAACCATGGGCCGATCCTTGGTTTTCGTCTTTTATAAGCTTCCTGCTAAGAAGTTTCTGAGGCTGTGGTCTTCCAAAAGGGAATAGGGGCTTGACTGAGGTCCCCACATTTCCAAGCATCCTGTTTTCTCTGTTAATGGGCCAATGCTGTCCCGGGTGGCCTTGGAGTTGGAGCCCTGGGAGCATCTTGCCTTGTCTTTACCTCCATCTTCCTCCCTAAGAGAACTCTTTCTGTTTTTTCCAAGCTGGCAGGCAAGTCCTACCCACGAGGGCATGTTTGATCACTCCAGGCTTCTGGACACATACCCATGGGTGATATTTGCTGATCAGGCCAAGGATTCTCTGACAGCCCAGCAGTGTGAACACATAATGCCAGGCCAGGAACTGAGACCACCATCTCGCTGATGGGAAGAGCCACAGGTGGGCCAGGCCTTGCTCCCACATGCTCCTGGGTGTCCCAGGGACTGGGTGCTCAGGAGCCCCTGTGGTAGAGCACCAGCCCTGCCTTGAGAAGAGAGGCAGGTCTCCCATCCCTGACCCAGCTGAGAGGGACTTGCCATAGAGCACAAGTTTAGCAGAGATTGAAGTATGACTCTCCCATACACAAAAATATACAGACAGTTAAAACAATGATGTATCCAAACTCTCCTTTGAAATTCTGTATCTTCTTGCAGCAACTCTGTGAATTGCAAGGTCCTAGGATCTGCCTTCTCACATATTCTGTCCCCATTTATCCTTTTGGGCTAATTGATGAGCCCCTTATTTCTTTTTCTTTTTCTTTTTTTTTTTTTTTTCCTTTTTGTCTTTTTTACTGACCGGTAACGGGATTGCAACCCTCGGTGTTGCACCCGCACCACGCTCAGCCAGTGAGCGGGAACCGGTCTCCACATGGGATCCGAACCCTCGGCGGGAGCGCCGCCGCGCTCTCAAGCAGCGCACTCTCCAGTGCGCCACCGGGCCGGCCCCTCTTTTTCTTTTTTAATTAAAAAAAAATTATGATGTCTTTTGAGTCACACAGTCCCTTATTTCTTACCTCTCAAAATCATCAGCAAAGGCTGCTTCAGCTGGTCTCTGAGGTCCTTTGATCTATAGTCAGGATTATGTAACTTACCTTTAGATCAAAAGTTAGGAAAAAGTAAGTTCATAAGCAAAGGCACTAAATCCTTCCTTTTCCTGACAATGGCAGAGTCCCAAGAGGTAGAAATTCATCTGCTGCAGAGAGAGAGAGAGAGAGAGAGAGAGAGGTGGGTGAGGGGAAGAAAGGAAAGAGAGCATAAGGGAACAAGCAAGACAAGGACTTCTAGGCAAGGTAGTAAACTGACACTAAATATTTTTACACAAAAATTTATTAAAGCATCAAATGTTTTCTGAAGATCCACTCTGGGTGAGGCTTTGTGCTGACTTTAGAGATCACTGTAGAGGCAAGAATATGTTTCTTACGTATTTTCTTCATCATTCTTGAAAAACGGCATAATTCAAATCTTGCAATTAAAAAGTCTCAGAAAAACATGGGATTTTCTTTTTGAAACTTTCAGGGTTTTCTTCTTACCTTTGCCAGGGTGGGGAGGGGGCAGGACTGGGCCTCCCAGGGTGTATAGCCTTTCCTGCTTCGTGGAGGCCGCTCAGGCCTAGGCCTTCTAAGCAGCAGGAGTGAGCAGGCCTGGGGAAGCAGGGGGGCTGGTGGCAGAGGGGAGGGGTCCAACTCGCCATGGTTCTCCTGTGTAGCCCCCATCCCCTCCAGACGTGCTGCTTCTGGCTGTGCCCACAGTGGCTGTCCTCACTGTTTGACCCTGTGCTGTGTGGTGTATTTTCTCCCCACTGACAATGAATAAAAGGTGTGACTGTGTTGAGGGCTCCTGCTCTTCCCTAAACTGGGATAGGGCTGGGGTGAGGGGAAAGAGAGAGAAGAGGTCCTTGTTCCAGCAAGGACTCTAGTTATGTGGCACAGCGACCTACTAGAGCTAGTTTAAATAGAGGAGGGAGCAGATTACAAGGGACCCTCGAGATGGAAAATCAAGAATGGCTGCACCTCACGAGAACTGGACCGGCAACTGGGCCTCTCCCTTCTCATCCCCGGGCCTCACGGGCTATTGTTCCCTGGGCAATATTTGCATCTGTGCTCTTTTTCTCGGCTTCTCTTCACACTTCCTTGGTTTCCCTGCACAAAGTGGCTGCGTCTCCAACCCTGTACCAAGATTCACCAGTGCCTGACCTCCCCTTTGTGTCTCTTAGTCCCAGTTCTCAAGCAAAAGGATCTGATTGGTTCGACTTAGCTTTCAGTGGGACCCCTTAGGTCAGGTGTCCTCCCTTGGTCCAATCATCTGAAGCCAGACTGGACACTCTCATTGGGGCCTGTGAGCAGAGCAATTCCCCCAGAAGGAAGCCAATGGCAGCAGGCATTGGGACTTAGTTTCTCTCTATATAAGAGCCCAAATGAGTAGATAGTGGTCAGTGGGAAGAAAGGCCAAGAGCCAGGGTCACAATTAGTCCACATCGTGCCTTTTGTAGAAATTAAGAAAAGGCACACCCTCTGAGTGGCAGCAGCCTCCTAAACATGCAGCTAGGCAGTAGATGGGAACTTTGGGCTAATTAGAAAATAATATACCCCTTCATCTGGACCAATACAGCCCCATCATGCCAGGGTACACAGCCTCGCAGGGGGAGCACAGGCTTGGTTTCAGCCCCACCTGCCATGCTGGCCACGGGTCGTGTAGTGCATTACCTGTTCTGCCATCCACAGGAGACAAGCCCAAAGCCCTGAGACCCCCTACATTGACCCAAATATTGTTGGGTGGGTCTGGGAATTGGTGGTGAAACATTCCACTCAGAACATCCCCCAACAGCCACAGTTCCCTGCAGGGGGTTGGGGCAGTGGCAGCTGGGGGTGACTGCTTCCTCCTGAAATGCTCAATTGCTTTTACAAGGGTGTTCTCAAGGACGCTTGAAGGAGGCCCACTCCTTAGCAGGAAGCAATTAGTTCAGAGGAAGGAGGCTGACCTAGCCTCGGGGCAGCCATGAACCTCAGGAGGTGACTCAGAAGCCTGAGAACTTGGGACTACTATTCCCAGCTGAAGCCACACTGGGGGACGGGAAGTCTTGTCCCCCTCCTGCCTTGGGGCACACAGGTCTTGGCTTTCCTTCTCCCAAAACTCCCCACTCAGGCCTTTACAGTCTCTAGCCTGGCCAAGTTAGTCTACCTCCCACCTTTGGTCTTGCCCTCTGCCCCGTCTAGCTGCCACTAAGAAGCCAGAGTGATCTTCCTAAAGCACAAATCTGATCATGTCAGCTCTTCAAAGACTCCCCTGTCCCTTCAGTATGACATGCTCCTAAATGTCCCTCAAGGCCCTGTAGGATCTGGCACCAGCTGATCTCAGAAGCCTTGTTCTTCCCCCCATGTCCCCTCCTGCAACCTGCACTTGAGCCACCCTGAATTGCCCTTATTTTTAAGGGGTCTCTTATGCTTCTTCTGTACTTGCGCACAAGCCATTGCCCCTCTCTGGGTCACCCATTCCCTGTCTCAATTATCTTCTCTTCCATGAGGCCCTCTCAACCCTCAAACAGTTGGCCCCTCAGGTGTACACAGTCCCTCAAAGACAACAAAGACTCCCATGTGATGCCCTGTCTGCTGAGCAGAGTATACACTAAATCTCCATTTTTTTAAAAAGAGAGGGAAATGAAGACTCAAAGAATGGTAAAGCTGAGACTTGAACTCAGGTCTCCTAACATCAAGGACACTGCATATTGTGCTTTCTCAGACATGGAAGTGAGTCCAAATCAGAATGTGAAAAGAAGATAACAAACTATGAGCTCTGGGCTTCAGAGGAGGAAGGGTCTTGCCTTGTGGTGTGGGGAGGTGGGGGTGTAGGTAGGTAAAGGGCAAAAGGGAGAGATGGCTTCATGGAGGAGGTGGCATCTGCCCTGGGTCTTGCTAAATACCAGCTAACAGGGCCAGGCATGCCGGGGCAGGGCTACCTAAAGGAGCAGTTCAGGTATAGGGATCCTGGAGTCATGCTCAGAGGGGCCTGTTCCCATCTTATTCACCTGAAGAAGTGCTGGGCCCACAGGAAAAGTGCTGGCTGGAGTCCAGGAATACAGAGCCAGGGAATCCCTGTACCCAGCCAGCTATCAGGGAGGGACAGGCAAGCCAGAGAGGATGGCCAGAAGTCTGGAAGGGTGTAAAGAACAGTTGCAGATCAAGTTCTCCAAGCCTTCCAAGGAGGGATCTAGGGAAAGTTCTTAAAGGGACTGAACCAGGAGTCTGGCCGGGATCTTTTGATGTCAAGGAACAGTGGTCTACTCATGGCAGTGTGAGTACAGGGGCACGGATTGGTCGGGACTTTTGGTTGCAAGTGAGCAAAACCTAACAAACTTAAGCAAATGAGCTTATGCAAAAAGGGAAGTTTATTGGCTCATATAATTGGGAAGTTCAGGCACTGCTGGATCCCGAGGCTCAGTGATGCACCTTCTCTCCCTCGTTGCTTCTGCTTCTCTCTCTGTGACCCCACTGCCCTTCCAGATGGGCTTATTCCATGTTCTTTCACCTGCCATGGGGAAAGATGGGTTCCCAGTTCATGTCATCCCATATTAATAATCCCAGAGAAAAAACAGCCAAATTTCCTAGAATCCCCATATAAGAGTGCCGGAGAGTGGCCCAGCTGGGGTCACATGCTCATCCCTGGGTCAATCACTGTATTCAGGGAAATAGGATCTACAGTTGCTCAGGTCCTGGTCACATGCCTACTTCTTGGCGAGGGAATCAGAGTGGTAGGGCTTGTGATAGAAAAAGAGGCTGGGAAAGGTGGCTACTCAAGCAAAACCAGTAGCCACCAACTTTCCTCTCTGGAGCACTAGTAGTGATGTGGAAAATTCAGAGATGGGCACCACAGCCAGGCCTCAACTGGTAGTTAGGAAATCGTCTGCACCAGAGGCAGCTCCCTGTCGGGGCAGCATGGTTTCACTCATGGGGTCGCTACTGCGCTCTGCACATCTTTTCTCTCCATCTGCTGATTGGCTCACTGCTCACAGAGAGTTTCTGCCCCTCTCAGCTTTGTGTTGCACATCCTGCTGCTGGCTGAGGCTCACCAGGTCTCTTGGGAGCCAACTGTATCTCACAGCAGCTTCAGCTCCTATTCCTGTGGTTTACTACCAGCCCCTGTTTCCCAATGCCAAATTCCCAAGAAAGAGGAATCTAATTGACCCAGATCACCTTTGAGACAACCACACAGGTCAAAGATCACTGGGCAGCCTGCGGATGGTTCACCTTTGGGGCAAGTGCTCACCCCCATCCAAATAACAACTCTGCATTCTTTCTAAGTGACCTCTTCCCCCTCCACGAGGCACCTAAGAATAATTGATCCCTTCCTAGAGTTTCAATTAATCGTTACTATGTAACTAGCCTCTCCAAAACTTAGTAGTTAAAGCAATTTATTCTTTTTCATGGTTCAGTGGGTTGGCTGGGCTCAGCTGGGAGGTTTTACTGCTTCATGTGGTGTTGGCTGGGGTCACTCACAAAGCTGCATTCCACTAGGAGCCAGTCTGGGGCTGGAACAGTCAGGATGGCCTCACTCACATGTCTGGCAATTGGTGCTGATGTTGCCTGGGGAACCTCAGTTCTCCTCCACTGGCTTCTTATCCTCCAGAGCATCTCTGTCTCACCATGTGGACTTTCCAGCAGGATAGTCCAGACTTATTTATATAGTAGCTAGCTCCCAGGAGGACAAAAATGAAATCTGCAAGGCCTCTTAAGCTCAAGCTTGGAAACCATGTGACATCACTCCTACTGTATTTTATCAGTCAAAGGAAGTCACAGGGCCAACTCAAACTGTTGCGAGACACGCTCCCACAAGAAATGCACTTACATGCCACTTGTGCAAAAAAGGGCAGTTTATTCACTCCAGCTGGACAGCGTCCGTCTTCCAAGGTGCATCAGGCTTTGGTCTTGTGGGGTTTTTAAAGACAAAAACTACATCCCATTGGCACATGGGTTTGTCCAGGTGCACAAAACAAACTAGGGAGCTAGGTCACAGAGGCCAGGAATGAGCTGTTTGAGCAGTCAAGCATACAAGTTTTCATTGTGTATGGCTCCTGTTCCCATGTAATAATTCACTGTGTATGGCTCCTGTTTCTATGCAATTGTTTTTTGTTTCTATGGGGAGGTCAACGGTTTCTCATGCAGAAGGGGGTTAGTCTGCAGGTCAGACAGGGAGCAAAATGGAGTTACTTAGGTTAAGCAAGCAGTTCTACAGAATCAGATAGCGTATGTTATGAGGGCGTAGGGAGTTCTATTTCAAGACTCAGCTCCAATCTCTAGATGGGAGAAGTGTGAAAGTCTCATTGCCAAAGGGCACGCAAGATGGGAGAGGTTTGGGAACCATCTCTGGAAACAATCTACTAAGCCTGGAGAAGGGCAAGTGTAACTGTACTTGCCCCCAATCCTAAAACTTTTTATTATTATTTCCCACTTCCTCCCACACAAAGTTTGGTTGGCTCCTCCCAGGACATGGTAGAGGCTGGGAAGACCCCTCCATTCTGTACCCCCCTCCGCCAGAGGCCCTCCTGTTTTGTTCTGCTGCTCCGCCCCCCCCCCCCCCCCCCCCCCCCCCCCCCCCCCCCCCCCCCCCCCCCCCCCCCCCCCCCCCCCCCCCCCCCCCCATTCATGTCTGCACACTGGAACTAGTACAGGGTTCTGAACCAAGAAGGGCAATGCCCTGGAATTCCAGGATGGTGGTCTAACATGCTTCAGTTTAGAGGCTCCTCTTCTACTTTCCCTGCCTCCAGCCCCTTCCTGACTTGTAACTAACCATCCCAAACGCGGCAGGTGGGACCTGGGGATGCGCGCCCCCTGCTGGCCACCAAGGGGCCAGCAAGAACTCGGGTTCGGAATCCGGGGGAGTCTTTCTGATCCGGGTCCCCCGCCAGGCCGAGGGGAGCCTGGTCTCGCCACGGACTTCAAGGGCCCTTCCGCCTTGGTGTGGAAGAGCTGCCCGGCTGGGTCTCCACCGCGCTCCCCGCTGGGAGCAGGCTTCTGCTGGTGGACGGAGCTGTCAGTCCCTCACCTCCTCCCAGCCCGCGGGATGGAGTGGAGTCTGACGGAAGGGGACATTGCTCAGGGTCCTAGAGGCGTCCGAGAGGAAAGACAGGCGGTTAACTTTTCATTTTCTTCTTTGGGGATCATTATCCTGGGGGTAAAAAGTCGTCAGGTCTCCCCTCTCTCGGTGCCCTTGAGTGCCTGCGAAGAACATCCTTCTTGCAATCCCGAATCCGTCCGGCTTCGGGCCCCTCCTTCCGAAAGCCAGGGAGAACCTCCCCCACCCCCGTTTCGGGGAAGGAGAGCTCAGCTCTTCCTCAATACACATGCAACGACCAGAGCAGCGGCGGCGGCGGCAGCGGCAGCGGCGGCAGCACACGGGCACTCGGCGCTCCCCCAGCGCCGCGGGCGGGGCGCCCGGCTCACACGCCACCCCCCCCCGCCGCCGCCGTACAGCAGGGCGCTCCCCCAGCGCCGCGGGCGGGGCGCCCGGCTCACACGCCACCCTCCCCCGCCGCCCGCCCCTTCTCTCGCCCGGGACGCGCCTCCCTGATGCAGCCCAGCCCGGCGAGCTCCGCGTCTCCGCCGCCGCCTGCTCCGGCCGGACCGGGTCAGAGCCGGAGCATGGAACCTGGGGAGCCCCGGGAGCCCCGCGAGCCCGGGCCGGGAGCAGAGACCGCCGCGGCCCCGCGCTGGAAGGAAGCCAAGAGTTTCTACGATAACCTTACGCCCAAGAAGAAACCCAAATCGGTAAAAAAGCAGGGAATGAGTATAGAGGGGAAGGGGGGAGGGGCACCCCGGAGGAAGGGTCCTAACCCCCGGGAAGGGACCCGTGGCGCCCCTCCGGGAGGGATCGCAGCTCCTCAGACCCAGAATGCGCCCGGCAGCTGTCGCGGGCTCGGGTTTATTTTGGGACCTCTGCTCTGGTGGTGTGCCACCCCCCCCCCCCCCGCGCCGGGGCCCGGCCCCGGCCCCCCCCCCCCCCCCCCC